AAATTTATAGCTTATTAAAATATAATTTATTAAAATTGTTAATTATTAAATTTATTACTTTATAAAAGTATAAATTATTAATATTATAAATTATTAATATATTATTTTTTTTATAATTATAAATTATTTTATATAAATTTATATAATTAATAAAATAAATTTTATGTAAAAAAAAAACAAAATATGTCGTTTAGAATTCGATTTTCGAAAAATTGAATTCCGAACACTACAATAATCGATTTTACTTCTGTAAATATTTGTGGGAGGTTTATTTTAAGATTTTTTTTTTTAAAAAAAATTATAATAGTAAAAAATTCGAGTTATGGTAGTAGAGAGTATTACAATTTTTTTTTTTGTGGGTTAAAAGTTGAAAAAAGCGCGCGAAGACATGTATGTTAAAAAGGTTTAAAAAATTTAGGATTTAGGGTTTAAAAAAACCTTAAACCTTAAAAAATATTAAGCAAGTTTAGACGGTTATAAACTCTCAGAACTATTATTATAATTAATTAAGCATGTAAGTCGTAACAGTTTAAAACCGACAATAAATTTGTGCAATTTCCTGGCAAAAAATGCGAGCGCTTATTTTAAATCTGACCGCCAATAATCCTCCTTTTTTTTTTTTTAAGTTATGATTATTTACATATTTGAATTTTCTCTCCCTTCTCTCTTATACAAATTGTTATACAATATTATTTCTCAATTTGTAATGATCATATTCTATAGGTATATATATATATTTTTTAATAAAATAAACTAGTAATATAAAAGTAGGACATTTTTAACAAAAGTGCTGATATTGTGCTGGCCACTTCCCTTAAGTTGGACATGTTATAAGTGGACTTCTGTCAAAGGGAGATTCTTGAAATGCAATCCACGCTTCTATACTATTCCTTTACATTTTCTTTTCATTCCGGTTTGAGACATGTGAAAATTGCTGTACATAGAGAATAGAACTGTTATATTTTAATACCACCAAAATGGTATCTGACTGTACATGTACTAATTGTATTTCTTTACATATAATTGTATTGTTCTGTGAAGATTTGAATAATTTTTGGCCATTCCTTGTGTTCAGTTAATTTTATATATCTGACAGGATGGAACCCTATAGGCAAAGAAACTGTATTGCCATTCCTCAACATTGATATAATTTTAATTTCTCTTTTTTCATCGATCATCGCTAGAGGTTTTACATTAGTGAACAATTTCAGGAATGTATAGTTATAAACTCTGTTCTAATAAATTTCTGTACAAGTGTTTTAGAAGAAAATTTAGAAAAGAAAATTAATATAAACTTTTTCACAAAAATTCTCTAAAAAAAAATAAAAATGAGAACATTTACAAATTAACTTATGTGTTAAATTAATTTTAACTTGTAGAAAAATTGAAATTAATTTTTCTAATCTATTTTTTCTATTAAAAATACTCATGAAAAAATTTATCCAAATACATATATCATGATATGTTTCATAATCGTCTATAATGGGAATAATTTACACAACAGAAATCTTGAAAAAGTTATTCTTCAGAATTTTTAATCTAAATACATCCAGAAAATTAGCTAATATGAGCTCAATCTCAATGAGAACAAGTATACATCAGAAGCAAAAAAACCAAAAAGGATGATCAAATTACAAGGAATATCAATAGAATTAACAGACAAAGCAAATGCTAGTAGAGGAATAAAACAGAAGCATCAAAGATCAGAAGGCAGAAAGTGATGGAGATATCTCCACTACAGAATATACTATGAATTCCACCTCCAATAAGATCTTAAGAAAACTTTAAATGACAAATCATCTTTTTATCTTTCCATATATCCCCACTCAAAAGAACCACAGCCTTATTAAAATTGGCATCATAAAATAATAAACTTAAAAAGCTTAATTAGCAATGTGGTGGAAGATCCACTTCTTATATAATTCCCACGTAGAACACCCTTATATAAGTAACAATAAGAGGAGCAAATGCTTTGTATCAGTGAATCATCAAATACCAAGTTTCAAATTACTTGTATTACACTATTAATTAGCACCAAATGGAAAACATATTGTTGTATTCATTAACGATTTTTGTAACGATTATGGCAGTACAAGCCCAACTAAAAAATGGGTTTTACTCTTTTTCATGCCCAAAGGCAGAAGCCACAGTAAGATCCACCGTTGAATCCTACTTCAATAAAGATCCTACAATTGCTCCTGGCCTGCTCAGGCTTCATTTCCATGATTGCTTTGTCCAGGTTTGCTATTTAGTTCATCTCCTTCTTCCACCGCCATCATCATAGACAATCTATTTAACTACTTTTTTCAGTTACTACAGTTTTATAAATTTTATCTTTTAATTTCTATCGCTAAAAATTTTCTAATTTAGTTTTTAAACATACATTTTTTTCTTTTTAGTCTCTATAGCGGTATAAATTTTTCTTTTTAATTTCTATAATTGTATAAACTTTTCTGTATAATTTTATAAGTTTTCTTTCTTAGTTTCTATAGTTGTCTAAACTTTTTTTTTTAGTCCTTACAAAAAATAGGCGAGAAGGATTAGAAGGAAACAAAATTGTTGTGTAAAAGGATTAAAATTGAATATTTTTAACCATAAAAACTAAAGTGTAAAATTTATGAAACTGTAAAGATCAAAAGAATAGTTAAACCTAAATAATGTGTTACATAATCTTTTAGAAGAAAAAAAATAAGTATACCCTTACAACGTAAAACAATCTTACACTATATCATTTAATAACAAATCACTATATGTATACTTTGTTGAATTCTACTTAGAATAACTTAATGTCATATTAACTAAAATTGTTAGTTGATTGAGAATGTAAACATTTTTACACTCATTCTCTTTCTCTGTGGTCATTAAACAAATTTTTTTATGGCTTCTATGTCACATTTTTATTTTTATGTACACTGTTTATTTGTATGTTACATTGTTTTCCACAGGGCTGCGATGGTTCAGTTTTGATTGAAGGCTCTTCTGCAGAGAGGAATGCATTTCCCAACGTTGGTGTAAGAGGTTTTGAAGTGATTGAGGATGCAAAATCACAACTCGAGGCCATATGTCCTGGTGTTGTCTCGTGTGCTGACATACTAGCATTGGCAGCACGTGATGCTGTCGACTTGGTACTTAATATAATGTCTAATCCCACCCTCAACACTCACTAACAGACACATTCTCTTTACTTTTCAAAATTTATCACCTAGTCCAGTGAACCCTCATTTATAAATGACATTCATTTTCATGGTTAACTTTGATAAAACTTCACTCTAGTTGTTAGTTTGAAAAATGTCATTTCATGAGTTTAATAGCCATATATATAAAATAAAATAAAATAAAATAAAATAAATACATTCATTCAATGATAAATCATCATGAATAATAAATTTATTAAATTTTATAATAACTACTTTAAAAACCATATAAAAAGTAATTTTCTATTGATTCACATTGTATCACTTTTTCTGTTACAGTATGAGATCATTAAACTCTTTACTTTTATTCCTTAATAATAATTATTACAAACATGAATAATAATTTTTAAACTCAAAGATGTGAAGCTTAATAGGGTAGGAATTCAGATGACCAACACAAACAATATCTTGTACTAAAGTAAGGGTTTATTGACATATTGCTTCGGTTGATAAAAGTAACACTTAAAATAAATGGCAGAGTGATGGTCCAAATTGGTCAGTACCTACTGGAAGAAGAGATGGGAGGATTTCTTTGTCATCTCAAGCCTCAAACTTGCCTTCTCCACTTGACTCTAATTCTGTCCAAAGGCAAAAGTTTTCTGACAAAGGCCTCGATGATCACGACCTTGTCACCCTTGTTGGTATGCATTCTCTCACACATTGAATCTTGTGATTATGGTGTAAAAATAACAATTGGTAAATGTGTTACTTGTTTCTTGGCAGGGGCACATACTATAGGCCAGACAGAGTGCAGATTCTTCAGTTACCGTTTGTATAATTTCACCACCACTGGCAATTCAGATCCAACTATAAACCAAGCTTTTTTGGCTCAACTTCAAGCACTTTGTCCCAATAAAGGAAATGGCTTAAGAAGGGTGTCTTTGGACAAAGATAGTCCAGCAAAATTTGATGTTAGTTTCTTCAAAAATGTGCGTGATGGCAATGCGGTTCTAGAGTCAGACCAGAGGCTGTGGGGTGACGCCACTATGCGAAGTGTGGTGCAAAGTTATGCAGGAAATATAAGAGGGTTATTGGGGTTTAGATTTGATTATGAGTTTCCGAAGGCTATGATTAAATTGAGTAGTGTAGAGGTAAAGACCGGTACACAAGGAGAGATTAGAAAGGTGTGCTCAAAATTCAATTGATATATTAAAGGTGTGTTTAGGGAAAAAAATTTCTAAAGATACTTTTAGAAGAAAAGAATAGGAAAAAAAATTGTAATGTTTCTTCACGTGTCAAAACTAGCTTATGCACAGGATTAAAAATAAAATCTTAAGAAAACTAATAAGATCTTATACAAATTAAGTTATGCATAAGTGAATTTTAAGATAAGAAGAAACTTAATTTTTCTTATGATTTTTCTTTCTTAAAAGTAATTTTAGAGAAGCATTAAGTAGTGGCTTACTAATATAATGGAACTTGATATATTAGTGGGACTGCGGCTTGTATAATTCAGTGGCAATGTGTACGTGGGTGCTTTAGTTTTCCAGCTTTTGGATTTTATAATAAAGTTACCAAGATTTTATTCATTATCTTCTTAATTTTCAGAGATTTTGAGAGCTTTACAATTAGTGTGTCATATTAGTGTTACTAGTGGGACTGTGGCTTGTATAATTCAGTGGCAATATGTACGTGGGTGCTTTAGTTTTCCAGCTTCTGGATTTTATAATAAAGTTACTAAGATTTTATTCATTATCTTCTTAATTTTCAGAGATTTTGAGAGCTTTGTACAATTAATTAGTGTGTCATATTAGTGTTACTCAATAATACAGTGGATAAAATATCATTTAGGTCTTTCAAAGTATATATTGTTGCTACTTTAATAATTGAAATTAAGTAAAGAAATTATGAATAAGTTCTTAAAAGTTATAGTTGTTTTATTAATGTTCTTAAAAGTAACCACTTATTATCATTTTAAATGATATTAATTTTGTGGACTAGTTTTACAATTTTTAGTTTTCAGGACTAATATGACAATAGTTTTTAGGAGTTTTCAAAATCAAAACGAAAATCGAAAATCAATGCAAATTTGTGGTTTAGTCTAGTTTTTAAATTTTCAAAATCGTACAGTTTTTTATTTTTGAATTAGAATATAAAACTACTCTAAATTGAATCAATTCGCATTTATTTGTAGATATTTTGTTTTTCCAAATACATAATGCATGTATAAAAACTTGACACAACATAAAACGTATTTTATAAAATTATAAACAACTAAAAGATATTGTATCTTAATTTAAATATACGTTATAGTATTTAAAATATATTTTATAAGATTATAAATTATTAAACCAAATTTTAGAATAAAAAATTATGAATTACTAATAATATTAAAAAAATATTAAACGACAAAACATATAATATATATAAATATGAGAAAAAATATTTAATATAATAACTAAAAGTATATTAAAGAAATATTATTACTAAAATAATAATATAAGAAATAGTGTTTAATATATTTTAGTATTTCTATATTTTTACTTTTATTTTTGACGTATGATCATAAATAACTAACATAATATTACATATTTTAGTTAATTTTTAAATAAAAATTTTTATAAATCATAAAAATTGAACCAAATCAAATCGTAAAAAATTGGTTTAGATTTCATAATTTATTCAAATTAACTCAAACTAAATCGCACTTAATTTTCTTGTTTGTTTCGAATGACTTTTGAAGTAAAAATTGAACTAAACCATTCTATAAACTCCTAGTATTTTCCAAAATTGAGGGATCAAAATGGACAATTACTGATGGAATCATGCTTTGGAGTGTAAGAGGTGACATACTCAAAGATCCAAGAGGAGTGGGCTAGACATGAAAGATTGGGCCAGTCAAGGCCCAATGGGCCCTATGGGCTTGGAAGGCCCAAACCAAGTTTCAACATGGGCCTATCTTGTTATGAACAATCTTATTATATTTTGTTAGCATAGTTTGAATATATTTTGGTCTTGTATTTTGGACCACATAGAGTAGCATTTTAAGTTTTAGGCTTGTTGGGCCTAGTTTTGGGCTTCATGGGCCTTTGGGCTTTTGGTACCCAATATTGGGCTCATTTTCATTCTTGTAATTTTTCCTTTCCATTGTAATTGTTTGACCAATGTAATTAGGTCATTAGAATAGGAAAATACAAGGAATACTAAAGTATGCTAATTAGGTTAAATTAGGTTTAATTTGGAAGTCATTTAAGTTACATTTGAGTCACATGTTTAGCACCATGAGTGGCTGAACATGTGCCACTCAAATTAACCCTAAATAACTTTCAAATCAAACCTAAATGCACCTTGGTACCTAAATTTTCGGAGTTACACATGTGCACCAAAGTTTGAATTCAAATTTCAAATTTGAATTCAAACTTTAGGCGCCATTTTGTGAAGCCTTAGTTTAGGCGCCTATGGTCACCATTCCGTGCATACTTAAGCATACTTAAGCCTTCCCTTCACACTTTGTATTCACTTTTGAGATTAATAAAATTGGAGAGCTTATTCAGCCCAATTTTCTCTTGAGAGTCACCGTGAGAGAAAGCTTCACCTTAGGAACGGTACTAGGGTTTCCTCCTCTTTGAAGTGAGCTTTCCCTTGAACCTTAAGCTTGGATGCTTCCATCCAAGGCTTAAGCCTTATTCCAACCGAGAATCATCCCCATTCAAGTCTTCATAGCTGCGGATTCAAGTCTCCTTTGAAGAGATCCGTGACTTGGTGGGAGAAGAACAACATTCACTCCTCCTACCTTCTCCATCAATTACTCTTTATAAAATGAGATACTTATCCAAAATAAAAAAAATAATATATATATGTATAATGAATATGGACATCTAATGTATTTAATTTATAAATTAAGAAAAACGTTAACAAACGTAATATCTAATAATGATAGATTAAGCTTAATGGTTTGGTCGCCTATGTTCATTGGTAGCATTAACGGAACTATACATGGCAAATAAAATAAAGTATTTAGTTTAACTTATTTTATAAAAATGTATATATATTTTAATTAAAAATGTCAATTCCAAACATATTGTGGTATTTTATAAAAATAACTATGAATGTGATGTAAAGAAAAATAAGAATAGTTTTGGACAAGAAAATCTGTTACTTAAATTAATTATATTGAAGGAATACGTGTACTGTTCATTTTGCTATTGTTCATTGGAGATGCCGTAGAAGAAAGGTGAGAAATACAAATGAAAACAAAATGTGTCTTCGTCGCTTGAGAGATTCGAATTCTCGTGCTATGGTAAACAAGAGGTCCATTTCATATATAGGATTTCTGCGTGCGGAGATTACCTCTTATCTGCATGGAAAGTGGATGAGATAGTGGATCTCTGGATTCTCGCTTGCTGATGAGAGAGTTTGACCAAAGTAAATCTTGTATATTCAAATTAATGCTAGAGTTAATAAATATGTACCTTTTGTAGTGAAGCTGGAGGTATATGTATGTGTGTTAATCTAAGCTAGAACATTTTGTATTGAACCGATGTATTTATGGTTAAGAGTTGTATGCAAATAACTCGAAAAATAATAAAACACCATGTTCCTCTTGAAATAACCCTTAAATGGTATTAGAATCGTTGATTTCTTTCGGTTACAATGAATAACTCGTAATTCATACAAATAATAATAATACAATTGTTTGTGGAGAATTTCATTCATAGGTTCTTTTTATTCGAACTAGCACGATTTCAATTTATGCGTGTTCGTGACATGACAAACTCGAAGACTTTTAGTAAAAAAATAAAATCGCACAAACAATAAATAGAGTTATTTGATTAGGGTGTTGTTTCAGCACTTCAGAAGATCTATACTCGTTGTTTGAGCACGTCAGAAGATCTAAGCTTGTTCCAGCACATCAAAATATTTATGCTAATTGTACAATCAATTTCATGCATGTAGAATTAACGTGAATCGAACAGATGACATGTATATTGACTGCAGAAATCATATCCTTCATTAAATGGCAACAGAATTACAATTCGTAAGGATAACGAAACAGGTTCAGATGACTACACTACACTAGACTATGCTACGCTACGCTATATGCTACGCTAAAAAAGAAAAAGAAAGGTGGTCGAGAAATCGTACTCAAATCTATCTCGTATGCACGGTGTGCCTTATGCGCAGGCTAAGGAGTGCGTTTGAGGTATTGTGCGTGTGTGATTTCTGACCCTTTGCTACGAGCATGGCTCGTTTAATTTATAGAAAAAGATTTGGGAAAAGTAACTGTATCTGACGTGCCCCGAAAGTGCATAACCGTTTTAAACTTCCACATCATGGCTCATTCTCGAGAACGTCTTTGGATATTTTATAGAATCGCTCATTAACTTCCCCAAACCGTTCTGCAGTCTTTGACACTTATCCCATGATTTACTTCGACCGCTCTTAAATCCTGTTTCCTTTAAGTTCTTCATTTTGAGAGGTTGCGAAGTAGCTCTGTATGTCCAGATTCCTGGGATTTCGAGTAACCAACGAAAAATATATTTGAATGTTTCCTGATTTTTCTTGTACTTTAAGAGGTTGCGAGGCTGTGAGCCTTTCTCATGAGCAACATCTTTCCTAGTTCGAGGAATTCGAGAGTTTCACGAAAAATGTCTTCGCGTACCTCTTGCTTCTCTTCAGGCTTCGTATGCCTTCTTCAGAAACTTCTTTGCCATTTTCCAATCACCTGGATTTCGAGCACCCCTGTATTTCGAGTGTCTCCGAATTCATTTTCTGGTACTAACAAATGCCCCCTGGAAAACATTTGTTTCGAGGTAACTAAGAAATTTTTTTTTCCAATGCCTCAATTTTTCTTTCTCTGATAAGACCCTAGAGCCACGTTCTCTTCGCGAGAATTAAATGCCCCTGACATTATTAATTCCAAATTTCTCCTTTTTGAATTTCACAGCGGGCTTTTACTGCGCTTTGGCCCATTTTGCTCTTTCATATAACCTTTCATCTTGCCCATCTGAGTACTTTTTACTGTGTCTTCGTACTCACGTCATTTTTTCTTTCATCTTCATCTCGTTCCCATGGCAACTTCCGCTACGTCCGCGTCTACGGCTACTCCTGCGGCTTCGACAGTTTCTCCTACTCCTTCCGTTCCTTTGCTGGCAGAGAATGCGACTATTTCCACCTTGAGCGAAGGGGCTAACCCATTCGTTCCTATCCCTGACATGGAGGAAGCCAACCTCAAAATTTTTCAATCACAGGTACTTCTTCCTTTTTCACTTTCTGATGGATCAATGCATGTTTTTCTAGGCCCTTACTCGAATTCGAGCAAGAAGAAGACTCATAATGATTTGCTTCCGGAAGATGATTCCACTCTTCCTTTCATTTACCCTCCTACCATCGACCTTTTCCTTTTTTTGGATACTGCCAAGATATTTCGGGCTTTTCCTCCTCCTAAGGATAAACACATTCAATGGTTGGAATGTGTTGAGGCCTCGAAGCAATCCATTTGGAAGGAAACTGGAATATTCAATTTTGTTCAATTATCAAAGTACGATTTGAACGTCTTCGATCCCCAAATGTTTCTATCTACTGTTTTCTTTTGGAACCAGGAGACTTGTGCTTTCGAATTTCCTTGTGGTTTTGTCTGGCTGACTCTCTTGGATATCGCTGCCATTACGGGGTTGAAACCCTTAGGGGA